AATGAAGTCCTTGACAACTTCAGTCTTTTCTCTGTTGATAAGAATGTTGTTTATTGGTCCAGTAGTGAGGATTTTTGTTTTCTTTACATTGAAATGCAATCCATACCAAAGGCTGTGTGCTCTTTGATCTTCATCAGTAAATGTTTTAAGTCCTCTTCACTTTCAGCAACCCATATAAGTAGTACACAAGGAAATATGCTCAGCAATGCTCAGAAATGCTCAGACAAGCAACAGACAGTATTGCCTGAAAAATTAGAAACAGCATATGTGTACATTCTCAGGCGTATGAATCAATAAATCACAATATTTTTATATAATGAAATAATGCGCTGGACTGCAAACTCACTTTGAACTTCAAGATCGGTGGTTCAAGCTCACCAGCTGCTCCTTGGAAACCCTATACAGGGTTGCTATGAGTTGAAACTGATGCAACAGCACTCAACAACAGCATATTATATATGGATTCCTGGTGTGGAACTCTAGGATCAGCACTGAACTGGGGACTACAAGGTTCGCAGTTCAAACCCACCAGTTGCTTTTCAGAAATCCTATACAGGGTTTCTGTGAGTTGGAACCAACTCAATGGTACTTAACAACAATAACATACTATATATGGAGACTTGGTGTGTCACTATAGGATAAGCACTGGACTGCTAACTGCACTTACTCAATACCTCTTGCAAGCTGCTTCCAGTGTCAACTTGACATTATATTGTTGGGGAGGGTTGGGACAGGGGACCAGGGAAACAAATTCAGTTGGGTGGAGGTCTAATGGTGGTGGTGTTTATGTGCTGTGGAGTCGGTTCCGACTCATAGCTACCCATATAGGGTTTCTGAGGCTGTAAATCTTTATGGGAGCAGAAAGCCTCATAGGTGTTTAAAAATAAAAATAAAAACAAGTTACTTCAAAGAATAGAATTGGAAAATTTATTTCCCAAAATGGAATGAATTTTAAAGAAAAGATAAAATAACTTGCTCTCCAGCATAGAGATCCTAAAGCAAATGGAAGAAATGAGGAGGTACAAGAACTGAACAGAAAATTTCAAAGATTGGCTTAAGATAAAACCAAATAATACAACAAAATGTGCAAAGATCTGGAGTCAGTAAACCAAAAAGGAAGAACACGCTCAGCATTTCTCAAGCTAGGGGAACTGAAGAAAAAATTCAAGCCTCAATTTTTGTTATTGAAAGATTCTCTGGGCAAATTATTGGATGATGCAGAAAGCATCAAGAGAAGATATAAGGAATAGACAGAGTCACTGTACCAAAAGGAATGACTGATGTTCAACCATTTCAAGAGGTAGCATATGATCAAAAGCCAGTGATACTGAAGGAATAAATCCAAGGTACATTCAAGGAATTGGCAAAGAACAAGGCACCAGGAATTGATGGAATACAAATTGAAATCTTTCAAGAAAGTGAGGCAGCACAGGAGGCACTCACTCATTTCTGCAAAGAAATTTGGAAGACAGCTGTCTGGCTGACTGATTGAAAGAGATCCGTATTTGTACCCATTCCAAAGAGAGGTGACCCAATGGAATGCAGAAATTATCGGACAATCTCTTTGATATCCCATGTGAGTAAAGTTTTACTAAAGGTAATGCAGAAACGGCTGCAAGCATACACTGACAAAGAACTTCTAGAGGTTCAAGCTGGATTCAGAAGAGGCCTTGGAACGAGGGATATCATTGCTGATGTCCAATGAATCTTGGCTGAAAGCAGAGAATACCAGAAGGATGTTTACCTGTGCTTTGTTGACTATGCAAAAGCTTTCGATTATGTGGATCATGACAAGCTATGGACAA